AAGAGTAGTGAATTTAATTGGAGTTTCAGAGGGGATATTAAAAAAGCACCAAAACTGACTTTGATCCAAGATTATCTGGTTAATACCCTCACTGATTAAAAATTATAAGCCCTAAAGCCACTCCATTATTAATGATAAATAACAAATTATTAAAAACAGTTCTACAAATGTGTCCATGTGCTGATTCCCTCTGCATTAACCTCCAGGAATCACATGATCAATACGGACGGGAGGAAGGCTGCTCATGAATTACATCTACAACGAGCAACGCTGAAAAATTTAGTACAAGTAGGTTATGTCTTTGCTAGAAACTATGAATTTTCTGGCTGGATTCATGGCGGTGGGAGGATGTTCTTACAGGGAAGAAAATAATAAGTTCATGAAGATCACTTAAGTCAATTAAGAGATCTTTATGAACTTACTATTTTGAAACTGAAGCTATTCCGTTTTCTACAAGTGAATAAATATAAAAGGAAAGTTGCCCAGCTGTGAAGATTTGACATTTTGAATGGCAGGAAACTTATTCTCACTGTGCAGGCCCCTTGTCACAGCTTTCATTCTCTCAATGTACTTTAACATACGGTCATTTTCAAGTAACTTTTTTGGAGGAGAAACAGTCATAAAGAGTCATAAATGAGTAAGGTAAAATTGTTAAAATATCTGGATCATTGCTACCCATTTGATAAAGAACATTCTTCCTTGGTAAAAAAATCATCTCCGGATGAAGTCTTTTGTCTTTTCTTTCTTCAGTTGTGATTTCAGTGATTGAGTTGCCACATGGTCCTATTGTTTAAGGAACAAGCCGATCTATTAATATTTCTTAAGAGAAAAAAATTCTGTGAGTTGTTAACTACTGGGGTTTTGTGTACTTGTTCTTTTAAAATGTAGAATGGAGGAAATATTAATTAAGCCCTACAGAATTATTCTCTTTGACTATGGAAAATTTTTAAAAAACAGAATAAAAACCATAAAAATCACAGACTCTCAGGTCTACAAGAGGTCACTTAATTAGGGCTCAAAATCAATGTATAAATCCTTTAGACAATCCACACATGTCAGATGACATATATTTGATGAATAAGTTGTGCTGAGGTATCTCATTTTCATACGATTTATTGAGCAACATGATATTTAACTGTGATGGACTCTCGGCTTCTGGCTGGAATCCCTTCTCAGCCCAAAGTCGCCCGCGGAGAGGGCACAGCAGCCTGCTGGCAGCATTAGGTAAGGTTCTTGCGTGTCCAAATGCGCTTCACATTGCTCATTCTTAAAGGAGCGTTTTATAAAGGTGAATCTTTGTAGATTCTTATAAAGGAGATTTTGATGAAATAGACTGAGATCCATGCAATGCATATCAGAATTCAATATCGAAAATGTAATACACTTCCATATTTGGCACATACAGTGTTTTATATAATACTAAAACCTTTTAAATGAGTTCAGCTTTGTAAAATTGTCAACTTCTGTTCATCTCATTTTTAAAAAAATTTCTATGTAGAATAGAAACGTAGAAAGGTATAATAGCTACTTTTATATCAGAAATTATTTTTTTAAATTCTTATAGATCATACTTTGTAATACATTTTTTGTTTACTATTTTTCATCCCCTTTCCACCATCCTAAGCATTCAAAAAAATTTTTTTTAACTATAGTTAGAGCTTACTAAAACTCATGGGAAATAAAATAGTATTATATACATTGTTTCACACAGATTGATGTGAAAAACATTTGGTTTCCTGTTGACTGAAAGAACAGATGCTTGTATAATTTATGAAGCCAGAAATGCTTTCACAATATCTTCCCAAAATAGTAAGATATTCTAATAACACAGTTGTGGGGAATGAAGTAAAAAAGGTTGGGAGACTCTAAGTTGCAGATTGAATTTTGAGTGCAGCACAAACATTTGGAAATATGTTGTCAATATCCTAAAAAATATGATTATAATCACTCACCTTATAACATGATAAGTCATAAAATATTTTATTGTTTCACATGAAAACAGAAAAGCCTAACATGGTTTTTTTTTATTATGCATACCCGGCTACCTCTTTTCCAGGACTATTATGTTTTCCTAGACAAATACTTTTCTGTGATACACATATTACTTTAAAGTTTCCAAGACTAATTTACATGATTACATAACCACAATAGTTGTGTTACTAACATGGTAGTGTTTACTGGGGGTTGATTTAAAATTATTTTGAATATCAGTCAACATGTCTATCCTTTCCAAACTGAGGGATTAATCAACCATTCTTGCAAAGTCAAGGGCACTTGTATTTCTTTGCTAAAAATAAACCCTGATGGTTGTGGCATTGACTCAGCCTGTGGCAGTCCCGATGGGCGTACCACTGGCTAGTGGACCTTCATTATGAAAAAAGTTTCTAGCTTCAATTATAATTTGAATTTTTCCTTATATTCAGTTCCTGCCAAACTTCACACTATTGTTGTGCCTTTTCTATGAGATGTCTTAGTCTGTTAAAAAAACATTTTCCTGTAAATTAGTTCTTTAAATGATTAATCATTCATAAAAGGACCATTTTGAAACCCCAATATAATTTAGTTACCAAATCTGCTCGTGGGTTTTGGAAAAAAAATGTGGTAATGTTATATTTTCTTTCCTTTCTTTGCTTCAGGAAGAAGTCTGAATTTTAGAGCAAAGAAACAGTAAAATATTTTTATAGTAGACACACCTTGAAACATTAAAAAAGTGAAGCTTTGATGAATGTTTAGAAATGCAATGATATTTAAACACTAGTCTAATTCTGTGTAGAGCCAATAACATACTTATTTGATTTAAAATAATTTGTAACGTAAACTCAAGGACAAGGAACTGTTTTGAAAAATGATCAGGAAAAATCTTCCTGGGTGCCGTCTGGTCCCCATACTGAATTAAGGTTGGACATTAAGGCAGGCTGCCTAATCAGGTTAATCAAGGCTTCCTAACTTCAAGAGAGTCTCAGATGAACTCCAACGTTTAAGCAGACATTGTTTCTCCATAGAACTACCTGTCTTGAAGACTCTCCACACCTGTCCTGCCAGGTAATGATGCTACACCGCAAAATGCTGATCTTGCCATTAATGTTATTGTGCCATTTTGTTTTTAAAATTATACATTTTGAGGTTATTTAGAAAAGAAATTCAACATTTCTCGTTTTTGGTCTTAGAAGTGGGGAAAAAAAAGAATAGCTGTTTTTGAAGGGAAGAAGCATTGGAATCTGGGGAGACCTAGATTTAACCTCTGTTGCTTAAACAAAAAGGAGTATCATGTTACCCCCTTTGCAGAATATCTATGATAGAGGGTTGATCAGAAATAAATTGATCCAGGGTATATGAGGGTGATTTTATTATCCAGGTTTTATCTAGGAAATTGGAGCTCAGAGAGGCAGTGTATCCAAGCCAGTGACGACAGTTCGCTTTTCATTGAGTTATTATGCATTGTTAGCAACAAAGTGCAGCTTTTAAATGTCTGCAGTCCACAGCACAGAAAACCTTTACCCACTGATGCAGCCTGCATGTGCACAGTATCTTCTAAAAAGGGTCCAGCTTCTGACAATAAACGGTTAATAAAGAATGTAAGATAAGGAAAACATATTGACAGTCCTAGGCTTTTGTTAAAAGTAACATTCGTGTTGGAGCTATAACACTTCTTTTTTTTAACCCCCTCTTTTAGACTGAACTCTGTAAATATTGGAGGTGGCATATAGTTTTTTGTTTTTCTTTTTTTTATTAAAGTAGAGTTGATATACAATCTTACGTTGGTTTCAAATACACAGCACAGTGGTTCAGCAGTTACGCATATTATTAAATCCTCACCCCCCTCGGGAAGTTACCATCTATCAATGTAGTAAGATGTTACACAGTTATTAAGTGTAACACAACCAGTAACACATAGATTTTACACAGGCAACACATATGTATTTATGTCTATGAACACTTCCAAAAACAAACACCACAAAGTTGGCTACTATGTAGATTTCCAAATGTTTCACAAAATGCAATTTTCTTTTAAAATTGTAAGGTCTCGATAAGTGTTAGTTGCACTGATCTGGCTGTGAAAAAAATTTTTAAAGCAGTCCATTTTGGAACGGATATCCAATACGAGTCTCCTTTGTGTAAATCCAGTTAATAGGTACATTGAATGTCAATCATTATGTTTCAGTTGCTGGTAACTTTGCCAAATAGCACAAAGGTAGTACTGGGAATGCTTCCCTTCACCAAAGCAAGTTCCTAAGACATTTTATAAAGTGAGTAATATAGAATTATTTATAGAGTTTTTTGGGGAAGGACCACCAGAAACATTTCGGGCCTTTTTCTGTCAACAGGGGGAAGGGCTATCAGTAATTACAAAGCTGTTGGAAAACAAATTACAGGCCCCTCTGGGGTGTCAGTATTTCAGTGGTAAAAGATACCCGGTGTGAGCCAAGCCTTGGCGTGACCTGACCTGATTTCCTGCCTCCTCGGGGAAGAAGCGCGTCCCAGTAGTGAACTTGGCTCTCTTGGTGTTGAGTCAGCGCCCCTCCTCTTTGATGCTTTCCCTCTACTGACGTAGCCAGAAGCTCCGTAATTACTACTGTGATTACCAGAATGAGTGTTTCTAGAAGAGGCACTTTTAACTGTATGATTGGCTAGTGCTGAAGTATTATGGGATTTCATAGCTGAAGAAAGGGAGGAATCCTCTAAGAAAACGGAAACAGACATGAGAAAGGGTCTGGGGCACCTAAACACCAGTTGAGTGGGCATCGCATTTTTTGTGGGTCCCAGAGAGTTTTATTTTCCTCCAGAGAAGAGGGGAGGGAACAACGATCCGAAACAACGTTTCCTAATGGGATATTTCACACTTATGTTTTACAAAGATTCATTTTCATGGACAGAAAATAAAGCTGATTAAACTATAAATCTCTTCATGCACATGTGCTGCCCCTAAAGTGTTCAAACTAGCTACAATTCAGAGTAAAATCTGGAGGCAGCAGTCCATCTCACTCCCTTTCATTTCCCAGATCGACGCCCAGATGCTCCATGTAGGTCAGGACATCAGGCAGAGAAAAGGACTGGAGACTGACGCGAAGACGCTCTATTTCACACGCTTGCCCTCTGGAAGGACTGGCAGAGGCAGTCACTTAAATTAACTACAGGTCAGCAGACAAGATACATGATCTATTTCTCAGACAGACAACTTCAGCGTCCCAGACCCCGATGGCCTTCCGCGGAGGCGCAGCACACGGCTTCTTCACGCTCCCCGTCGGTTCATGTTAGAGGTTGCTGTGCTCGTAAGGGGTGTTTCGTGTGTCCTGTGGTCCCTCTTGCTCAAAGCAAAGAAATGGCTTTGGTTAATTTATGACCTACTAACCTTAAGCAAAACTGAAATAATGTTCTCACAAGCCAAGGGGAAGAAAAATAAAAGCAAAAATAAATCTGACCTTGATGCCGTTTGGTCTTTTCCTGCCCACACAACCCTCCGAAATTACAGGGAGGAGGACAGGAAGATATTTACCCACAGATGGCCCGTTTTATGGTTCTTTTCACTCAGGGAAAACTGTGCAAGAATGCAGATTCCCACCATCAACTTAGAATTCTTGAATTATGAACAGTGTTTTTAAGAAAAAGACACTGCATGTTTCCGTACAGAAAATACAAAATCGCAATCCTGTTGAATCTCAATGTTTTAAATACAAATGCTTGATAGCCAAGAATTAAGTCACCAAATAAAGATGTGGAAGACATAGAGCTAGACGGTAAAGAGGTAGTAATTGAATCCAAACACAGACTAGCAGGAAACTACATTAAACCAGCAAGTAGACCAATTTTTGTGTATGGAACAAAAATAATCTAGAATATGGGGCCCTAACATTTATTTTCTCTTCTGACACTAGTGTACCTATCACCAAGAGCATAGATCTTATTTTCAGTTGTGAAAAAATTTACACTTCCCAGAAAAAAAGGTTCTGTGTTCAACAAACTTTAAGTATGTGAAATATGCATCCAGTTTAGTCCAAGGAGAGAAGGAAGAATTAATTACTGTATTTACTATTGCTATTTTATGTGTACATGACATTTACTGTAATTTCTTACTGTTATAAGTGAATCATTTTTATATTTAAGAATGGTAAGGTAATGATATTCTGCAAAGGACTTCTAGGAAAATATTTTGGAAAACAAATAAGAACATGGTTATGTGCTGCAATTAATCATAGCTGCCCCGGAGCTTTGCTTATTTGTAGGCTAAATGCATGTTCAGTGTTAATGAAAAATACAAGGTTTAGAGTCTTTTATCAATAGCATCCCCATTATGTAAATGTTAGCAGTTGTAGCAAGAGATGAAGAGGCATGACTGAAAGCAGTTGTGTATTGACCTGACGGTAATATCACAATAGGCAGTCAGCAGAACTGAAGTCATGTACCTTCCGTCGTGACTGACAATGCAAACAAATGTGTCCCTGGTCCCATGCTGATGCTCTTTCCGGGAGCAGCACAGAAACACGGACTGATAGAGCATTTGCCTAAGGAGTTTCATTCTGTAGGAACAATTGGCTTGCCTCAAAAGAATTAAATACTGCAAAGTTCAGATTAATCATTGTTTCATATTCTAAGACTATTTGTCTCTTCAATATGTATTCCCAGGAGATCACGAACCCCTCATCCCCTAAAAAAATCAGTTTCCATATAAACAGTTTGTCAAGAAGTATTAAACAATCAATGTCATTGGAATATTTTACGTGAGTGAAATATTGAAGGTGTAAAAATCTCGAGTAAATATTTCACTTTCTGTTTCAAGGACAGTTGTCTTGAATGATCAAAAATGATCATTTTTGATGTAATATTCTAAGTTGCTGGTTGTCTCATCCCAGATAACTGTAACCATCCTGGGTACCCGTTCAGTGTACAAAACAGGGACTTCCTGGATCTGATACAGCCAAAGTGACATTTTAGAACTTGATGATAGAAAATCATTGAAAATGTGGTTTTAAAATATATATCCAGTGACGTTTGCCATGATTTAACAATCAGAATAAATCACAAAGCAGGCTTGGAGAAATGGGATATGCAAGAAAGCAAAAAAAGTAGAACTGTTAGGATTTTCCTGTCCAAAATGGTTGGAAATGCATGGTTCTGTAGCATACCTAGATGGCTTTTACCTTTCACAGCATTAATGAAATCTTTGTGCCATAAGCTAAGAAAAATGTGTTGAGCTGATTCCCTTATTTATTTGTTTCGTCATTTCTAAGTAAGAATTTGTTAAGGAAAATATACTACTTTTGTGACTCTGTTTTGGAAAAAAAGTATTAAACATAAAAGGATAACGTTGACTAACACTAATGTGCTGTTAGGAAATCTTAGAAAATCCTGTTTAGTTTGTATACTCTAAACACATCCCGCTTACCTACTATAAGAACAGAAACATTTAAATCGTAAGGCATGGTTTTGGTCTGATGCCTCGAGCTACTTTGAATAACAAAGTCTCCCTGTCATCACCAGTGAGGCTCATCTCTGGACCTGTGCCAAGACAGGCATGTTTTTAGCGCAATGAAAGGGGTCCTTTTCTTTCACACAATGTGATGTGGAGGCTTGCCAAGCTCTGGTTGGTAGAACCTGCCTCTTCTTTCTTAGGGTCTTGAAATGGCATGAAGTGCGTGAACTGTAATCCTGAAGCCCCTCTGTTGTGTCTGCCTCCCACCCCCCGGTACCTGCAGATGCCCTGCGGTCAGCAGAATTCTGAGCTTAGCGGTTGCTTCAGTGAACATTCAACGCTGTCGGTGAGTTTGCAATTAAGATCAAAACCATCGACCGTTGACTGTACCCTATGGCTAACCCATATCTACTCCGTGGCTTCCAGAATTCGCTGAAGACAGAAGCCAGCGGGACAGCATGGATGTTCTCCCACGTGCAGAGATTATTTTTAAAAGGTCACAATCAACATTCATTGCTGTCGGTGGGTTGCACTGTGTGAACCAGCTCACGGAACGATGAATGCCACTGTGGCCCGCTGTGTGCAGTCACCTGCAGGGGCCGGTCCGTCTCTGAAAGATGTATTCAAAGTCGGGATATTGTTCTTTAACCTTTCCAATCTGCAGAGTCTTCCGGTTTAGGTATCTGCTTTTTGTCCTACAATCAGATTGAGATGAAAGGTCACTAGTTCAAACAAGAACGGTACTCCTCTAAAACACGTCGTTATGTTATAAGTAGGGCACTTTGTTCAGAAGGTAAGCTGTTTGTCCCTGCCATCTGTGACATGCCATCTAAGGTGGCAGGCCTTCCCCCTGTGCAGCCAGAGCTGAAGCCACCGGGAGAGGCTTAGCACCCAGGCCATTGGCACACTTGCTGATATCACCTAAAAATAACCTTCTCTGTATCTCTTGTTAGGCTCAGATAATTCTTCCTCTTGCTATAGAATTCGCTAAGGAAGGAAGAAAGTGTGTATGAATAACTACACAACTATCAGAACAATTCCGAGGGTCCGATCTAGAGCGCTAGACTGATTTCTCTAGTCAAATCCAACTTTAAGGTGAAAGTCCACCCACTCTCTTCATGTTTCACCTTCCAAGAACCTGAGCTATGTCATTACACTTAAAACCATGGCCTATAAATAAATACATGTCACTTTTCCACTGAAAAACTAGATATATCATAGTTTTTCTTAACTAGTATGGCCCTGGGTTTTTATACAGAATACTTGTCACTGAATTGGGCCACCGATACTATAGATTTGACCATAAAACATTAAGTGTTACTATTTGTCCACAGATATTATCATTTATAATTATAATAATCATTTTGTTGTTATATAAAGTGCTCTTATTATAATAATAGAGATACTTCTGGAGTGCCTATGTTTGGAATATCCCTAAGGCTTCCATATTTAATTTTAAAAATCTGTCAAATACATTGCTCATTCTAGTCCTTCCCCTTTAGGATTCTGTGCAACTCCCACCCCCACTGCAGAGCATTCTGGGGACCCGGCTCTAGATCTCATCGTGACCATAAAGTATTTTTCTGCATCCGATATCTAAGCTGGGACATCCTGTTCTCTGCCCGTCACTTCCCAGCACTCTGGCTTCTCACCCTCTTTTCCCCAAGGCAACTGTCCTTCCAGCTTCAGTGTTATTAAAAAACAACAACCACATAGTCACATGCGTATGTGCTGGAACCTATTCATGGGCCTCCAAATTCTCTGGCCTCTCAACTCTGACCGAGGGTCTCCACCCCATTCCCCAGCCACTAGCTCAACTAACTACCCGAGAGTGCTGTTCTGACGATAAATGAAATAATTCATGTAATGACTTTAGCATAATGCCTCCCATTTAATATTTAGTAGTAGTAGTGAACTCGATCCTACATATGCTAGGATCCCATTATGTAAAAGTTATTATTTTTATTTAATTCTTAAGTGCTGGGATTTTCATCATTTTTTCTTCTCATATGCATTATATCTTCTTTCCCCTTTGTTATCCTTTGTTTTATTTTGTTTCAAGCTGACACTATATACGTCTCCACTGTCCAAAACTCAAGGTCTTCATTAAACAAATCACACCAAAAATCATGCTTAACTTTTAGTCAATGGCTATCAGAAAAAAAAAGTTAATAGAATCATCATTTACATTATTAGATTCACACAATGATCTAGGTATGCTGTCTCCTTTAATCCTCACGAGAACCACTTGAGGAAGGAAATTCTCCTCTGAAGATGGGAAGGATGGCAAGCCAGACTTGGGAAGGACGGCACTGTGATTAAGTGACGTGAGACATGGATTTTCTTGTTCATCAGAGGAAATGATCTCTGAAGTCAGAGCCTTTATCTGTTTCATTTGCTGCTCCAAACTGCCATTATGAGCATGTCAAATATGTGATAAGAGCCTAATAAGTATTAGCCAACTGAGTGAATCATGAGCTCGTCAACTCAGGAAGCAGTGCCTTCCAAGACTGACTCATAGAACGCAGTGCTCCAGGCCGGATGCTGGGGGCCCATGTTGAGTCTTAATTGAAACATAGTTTTTTCAGAAAACTACATACACAACAGAGGTGTTTATTTCTAGCCTCCATAGTACAGTACTACTATTTACTTATATATTTACCATTTATTAATTTAACTACTCTATTTCTTCTAGTCTGATAGACCATTAATGGCAAGACAAACCATTATTGTATGAAGTAGTAAGAAAAGGAACAAAGAAATTTTAAAAAAGGAAGTAATAAAAAAAGAAACATAAAATGAAAATGAAAGAGAAGACCCCCCCAGGACCCCGTGGCCCCCACCATGTGAGGACACAGCAAGAAAGCAGCTATCCCTAGAGCAGGAAGACAGCCCTCGCAGGCCCGGGTCGGCCAGCGCTTTGAACTCGGGCTCCCCAGCCTCCAGAACTGCGAGAGATGAACTTCTGTTGATGAGTCACTCAGTCTAT